ACATCAAAACGCTTTCTTATTCTCCGAGTAGCCCAAAAGTCGACATCGAACTGATCCAGCGTCAACCTTAGCACTCTCTTGGAAATTAAACGTACGCGTGATAGCCGAACACCACCAAATTTTTTTCTCAAGTAGTTTTTCTTCCCTAACTTGATTTGGTGACATGCCATGACTGACAGCGCGTTTCGGGTACATATTGCAAAGAAATATTTTAGTTTGTACAGCTTTACTCCAACATGACTTCAGTAAATAGCGTGTTCCATGTAGCTTAGGCATGCACGGGGGCGTAAGTTTCTGTAATGTACATTGTTTGCAAAGAACGTAAGCGTTCCTCCAGAAGTGTAGTTACCATAACTGTGTTTTCACACACTTGTTTCCTTTTTCGGTGCAACAAAGTAAACAAACTTGTTGACTACCTAAGACTAGCTCCTCAACAAAAGTATGACACAATATTGTTTTTTTTGATAAACGTGACGAATTATCGTTTCCCAGCTAAGGTAGGTGTCAGCATCATACCGCATACGTCGCTGTAAATAATTTAAGTACTTGCTTGGCATAACTTGGTGAGGACCATATAAAACCCCTCGAGCCTGCTTGCCTAGCGCGCACCCATTCCATAACTCTCACCAGACCACTACGCAAGGTTTCATACTAGTGTCACAGCCCTTAGTCAAAATGGTGGATGAATCACCATAGCCGATGTGACCAAGTCGAAAGTACCAGAGGTAAGATGTAGTGATCCCACGGCATCTCAACAATTGTCACGTTAGTCTCGTCAACGAAAACAAGCTTCACACACAGCTTGAACATTCTTTGCCTTCTCCATACACCAGATTTCCCGAGAAGACCATTTGGTTCAGCAAAGCATCTGTCTCACTCAAAAGTAACCTGGAACAACATCCCCGGTGAAACGTCCGACTGACAAGAAATTGCACAAAAGTTTCGGGAGGCGCCACACCGTTGTCAATGCGCCCTGCTTCATCCAGGGTAGACACCATCGACATCACGATATCGCTCCTTTCAGCCGCTTGGAGAACGCCTTCGTCCGCGAGGAGCAAGTTGACCGGTTCAAGCGACTGGTCATTCTTCATGTACACTCTCGAATATGTCATTTGTTGCTCCTTACCAGGGATAACCAGCCAAACGCAACTAAACTCGGCCACACACGCAATACATCCAGCCAAAAATAGGTAGTCACCTGACTCTATACAATGTTCACGCGTTGTGGCTTTTATTTCGCTCGGCATTTTCAGATTCGAGCTGGGCACTTTGCGATTCAATGCCATTGGTCCTCTCAGTGGTGGCAAGCGCTTCTAGACTTCACTGGTGCTTGTCGCCCCTTGAGCCGTCCGTTCTCATTACTTGGACTTGGCCGTGCTTGGCTCCATCGACGCCGCTACCTTGCTTCTTGTGCTTCAAATCTTCATGTAATAGTAGATGCATCGCGTTAGGTAGTCGGGTCTTAACTTCAATGCCGTGATAAGAAACGCGTACGACTCGCTAAGACTGACAAGAGATCGGGTGACTAAGTCGGTCTCACTGATATGAGGTTTCACTGCGTCAAGCTGCGTCTTGTTCTTGTTACGTATTCCATTATATTCTTTCATCAAAATAGTAAGCGACGACAAAGAAAGAGCTTGTTCAGTTTTCTTCTCGAAATTTTCGACTAGCCGCGCCCATGCACCTTGCACACCTTTAGCCTATTTAACAAATGGTAGCTGCGAGTCTTTTATCAGAAGAAAGATGATGATCATTACCTTGCAAGACTTGCGTTGTAGGTTTGGTTCCCCAGATCGGAAATCACCTTGATATCCCGCACACTACTTCCTACAAGCCACGATCTTCTAGCACCATCTGCATCTTGAACTACCACGTGTGGATTATCGTTCCGTATCAAGCTTATTTGTGCGGCTGGGTGCGATGGAATCATTGGCGAGGGCGAAGTCGTTGTCAGAGGCAGGGAAGTCGAGGCTTGAGCTCATAATCTAATAAAAATTCGAAGTGAGTTACTGTTTGAGAATATGCGTAGTAACATGTTAAAGGTCCTTAAATCGCCTGCTTGTGCCTTTTTTAAGTCAGTCTCTGTTCGTAGAAATATTTACCAAATATACTTTTGGGCTATTACTGAGATGTATGACACCATTAGATATAACAACTGAATATTGCCTGGCGTCTACTTACTTTTCTTGAAACGTAAGTGCGGCTGCCGTCGAGACATCTTCTTGCCAACAAACATCCCTCGAGAATATTCAACAATTATCATCGTACAAAAATGAAATTTGATGTACTTTACCGTTTCCAATCGCGATTTTTCACTATGGTACTATTGAGGTCAATACTATACTTTATACGCAATCATTGAAGTTGAAATTAGAACATTTAATATCATGTTTTAAAGTGAAAATGTGAAGATATGCTCCTCGTTTTATATACTTAGCGTGGTATCTTTCTATTTTCCCTTTATAACAGCTTTAATTTTATTGAAAAGTCGCGACTTATGACTCTAAGAAGTGCATTTATAATAAAAATGAAAAATTCAAACATCAAAGCTCCAAGTCGGAACTTCTCAATTTGCAATGGAGGAGTACGTCAACACAAAAGGTTACCGTAGCAGTTTTCCAGAATTCATTGTTTTAAATTAAAGAAGTCAAAGATGTTTACCATAGGAGCATGATACAGTAGAACCTGTCTAAATTAAACCTGTGTAATTTAAAACCCTTGATAAATTGAACAAAAGATATGGATCCATGTTCTGCACCATACTTATGCTACCCTCCTTTATTTAAAACCCTCTCTAAATTAAACACTGTCTTCCAGTCACAACGCAGGCATCACATTTTCCTCATACAGCATGTGGCGAAATATGTTTTATGCACAGTTAAATATTTACCCGCGATTATATAATTGGTCTTATTTTACTTCTTGTGTCTACTTTTTATGCAGTTCTGGATGCCTCCCGACAGCTTCGCAATTCGACCTCTGGGAGGCAGCAACTCGAATTCAAGCGAAACATGTAGTGTCAGTACAAGTACATTCTTCAGCATTATACATGAAAATGTCTCTGTCTCACTACCACTATAATCTTGCTTAGCATAGGTTTCACGGAACGAGGTTGCCGTGGGCTTTGCACAAGAGAATTCTGATTATCTGAGCCCCATTAACAGACACATAAGTCTTAAAAAATTGTGCTCCTACCTGGTTCAAGAGGTACAGCTTCGTTTACGTTCCATCTTGCGGACTTTTGTCAACCACAAGAATTCAGTCTTCGGATACACCACCCGCGCTTAGTGCAGCAGCTCAGGGGAAATCCGTACTCGTCATATGAGATGCACCTAGGGTACCGAAAGCAGGCAAAAGTGACGATGAGTTTCAAACTCTGTCGCGCACCATCTGAGGAAGTAAGCCACCTTTCCTGCTTTAAGGCCAAGCAAGCCACCATTTCAATCTGACTTTGCGAAGTACAAGCACGAGTCAGACGTCCAGGTGACAGCTCATCAGCATAAGTTTCAGTTTTTACAGCCCTGCTCGTCTCATCCTCATCGGGCTCAAAGTAATCAGGAACAAGACGATTGACCACTTCATGCGTGGCTTCGTTTCTAAGAAGTGCGATCCCGACCACTGCATCTACATGAAACGTAATCACCACGACTGATCCTTGTTGCGCTCTGCGTTGACGACTTAATTCTTGCCGGCAATAGTGTTAAGGTACTTCAAGAAACTAAGCATGCACTTAACGCCCCGTTCTAAACGGCCTTCAGTATTTTTGAGATTGATTCTGGGGCAAGCCGTGACCAAGGGCACAGAGACAATGCGACAGATCAAGATCACGTCCGATCCTTGAAGAGATTCAAGATGAAAGTTAGAAAACCTGCAAAGACGCCACGTGGCCTCAAGCTGATCAGCCTCATGTGTAAAGGTAGCTGCAGCCATAACGAGACTGCGGCCGCATTGCCTTACCAAAACGCTGCCGACTGACTCATTAATCTCATGATGGGCACGCGTGCGGACCTCGCAGCTCCAGTAAGAGTACTAAGTCAACTTGCGGTAAATTTGAACCCCACACACTGGCTAGCGCTCAAGCGAGTTTTTAATTACGTTCAGGGAGCAAAATACACACGGCATTGATTTCCGAGCGGCAAATTACGCAGGAACGCTATCATTCAAATTCTGCCGGGCAGGAGACATTGTGTCAAGAAGAAGTACAAGCGTTTAAGAGTTTGTGATGAATGTTAGGTGAAGAGCAAGAAGCAAAAACTGTGGCTCTGCCATCGACTAAGCTTAGTACGTGGCGCTTTCTTAAGCTACACAAGAGGCGATTTGCCTTGAAGCTTTTCAGTGCGACTTTGGCGAGATGATTCGCATTGAAGCAGTCAAGACTATCGAAGAAAACCGAGGTGCTATCGTGTCGGACAAGCACTCAATTACACAATTGGAAAACGCACATTGACTTCGCTAACACTTCATTCGCGAGAAAATGGAAGATATTCAAGTCGTGCGGGGGTATGTCTCCAATCTGGACATGCTCGTCAAAATTATGACGGACCCAATCGTGAAATCACGGGGCTCAAAAACCAAGAGCAATCGAGTCGAATGGGAGTGTTGGCAAGAAGACGTCCCGCATGTTGAGCATCAAGAAATGTAAGCAGTCGCTAGACAAGTCCAGTTGTTGTTCTTAGCGGTAAGACAGACAGATCATACATCCTTTACATCGTTTTCAGGATTTCTAAGGGGTAGCACAGGAAGAGAAGAGGGAGCGAACTTGGACCTTAAATATATCCACTTAGCATTTTGCCACTCCAACTTAATTACCCGTTACCAAATCTGTTTTCGACTTTTGGTCACAAAGCCTACATTAAAGAGAGATTGTTGACCAACCAACACTCCATCGATTTCCATTCACTGGAGTTACATGCATGTACTTTACCTTAACGTATTTTTAGAGAGATGCACAGGAAGCGACATCAATAGAAATTTGTTGTTGTCATGCGCGATCATAGTAGTGTTAGCTTCTAAATTGCTGGGTAACACCAGCTTGACTTCTGCCCATTAATGTGCAAATAGTTTGTTTATTGCTAAAAGAATCAGAAGTACATTCCAAGACTCCAAGTTTACTGTCCCGGAAGCCAGATAAACCAGATTTCGTGATGGACAAATCATGAGGCTACGTCTGCCTGACTCAGTCTTTTGTCGCTTGGTTTGCTGCGAATCTTTCCCCAGTATTCTTGACGATGTTCGTGCCGATCCTTTCGACTTCATTACTGCTTGATATCAACGTGTCTTTCATATAGTCCATGAAGACCCAGTCGTGGTCGTTGGTCAGTTAAATGATTCGCTGTCTTCTGCAAATAATTGCTTGACCATTGCTGGAGGAGAGTTGGAGAACTACGATGATAGTGTAGTAGCAAGACAATACCGACATTGATGAAACTGTTGGGAGATAAGAAGGTCTGAAGTCTGATCATTTACACTGCCCTCAAAGCTAAATAGTTTGCTGACGTAGAATAGCGGTACAACATGCAGCCCATCTTTCAAAAATCCTTCTAAACCTCTGTCCTTCACATGACTCATCAGACAGTCAAATACCACTGATGATTCCGTTTGATTTCGCAGCAATTGAATTTGTGCATCCTCGGTTGTCGCAGAGTATCTGAGCAATTTACAGAGTCATGTAAGCAAAGTTTGTCATCGGACTTGAGAAGCAACACCATGTTTCCCCATTTAGTCACTCTTGCAGAAGCGAAGTGTGCGATTCAAATTCCATTTCTTTATCTACGGCAGGGCCTTTGATCTATTTCGAGTCGACGAAAGCCTATTGGTAGCTTCTCTAGGTAGCCAATGGTTCGGATAATACGGCGAGATACGACTCCTTACTGCTAATCGTAACGGAGGTAATTTGATATCTTGGCTTGGAACTTAGTCTATTGTCGATATCTACCATTATATCAATCGTCTCATTATGAATGTGGTGCATTTCAAGAGAATATGCGAGCTAGCGTGTTGATCACAATCATTCCGCATTGAAACCTTGGAGATTCTACCTCCGATTTATCTTGGATGACAAAACGTGATCGTTGGCTTGATATGCTGCCTATACTCAATTGAATTTTATTGAGCTCGAGTTGAAAAGTTTTGCCTTTGTGGCGCGTCAGGTATTTTTCTGCCTAAGGAGATGAACAGAAAAGCCCAAGTTAAATTCGTTTTGAAGTCTTTGAAAACGACAGATATTGCCCCTGTTCCAAACGATACGATGAGATTGATTGGATGCTGCTTACTTGCGACTGCATCACAGATTTATGGTTAAGCGAAGTTGGTTGGGGAGGCTTTGGAAGCAGAGAGTCAGGTCGCTTCATTTGAGTCAGGTTGCTTCATTTGAAAAAAAGTGATAAGACAGTGGTGAAAACGTTTAAGGCGGTAATTGCTCAAGACGGTACTCAAAGCCGAGAAACTAGTGCAGTTCCTGAAGCAAGTGTGGATATTGAAAAGTTACTTAAAGATCTTCTATTGCTTCTGACAAGGTAATCTGGAAGCTGAAGCATAATGAGCTACAAGCGTTGAGCATGAACAAGAAGATAATATTGCAGTTGCTCAAAACGTCTATATTGGATGATGAACGTGCAACGTTGTTATTTATAAGGACGATTAAAATTGGCTAATGACATGTCGAGCAATACGGAATTAGATACAGCAAAGCGCTCGAAGCGATTCTTAAAGATTAGAAGATAGTGCAATTGCTTATGGAGACTGATTTTGGAGGACAAGAGACGCATCCCGGTATTTGAGTTGGTACTGGGTGATAAGAACCTGGCGAGGGTGCATGAATCGAGTGTTTTTCTTCTCAGAGTGGCTATCAAAGATATTGAAGTTGTTTCGAGCGGCTTTAAAGGAAGAAGATCAGATGAAAGTGTTTGTAGAGGCATTGACTGGGTTTGCTTAAATAATTAATTGCTTACGCAATGCGAAGGTGTCTATATAATTAAACGTAGTGTCCATCTCGATCGTTCGTAAATCGGTAGGAGATCTGTCTTTCTCCTTTATTATAGATAAGCTACTTTCAGCATTGTCGGTTTGTGTCCGTTCCTCTTGCTGCCTTCTTTACTAATTCTCGTGCCTGGAATATGCTCAGAATTGCAAAAGGGAATTTACTCATCTTCGCGTGATTGAATCGTTCGACAAGCGCATGCTTTTCCAAACGAGTCATCATGGGGCCTTGAAAGCGTTCAGGCAAATACCCTCATTGACCCTGAGGATTTGATATATATTAGATACACTACAAAGTGACCCATTATATACGTTTCATTGACTTTATGTAAAACTGGTGCTAATACCGATATGACTACTAGTATCAGCTTTCATTTGTGATCAAAAAAATGTCCAAGTCTAACGCTGAGCTACTTGTTACCATTTTTCTTTGCCTTATTCGATAAGCAGTTGACTCCACCTTTCTTGCATTTTGCGTTGGAACTATAGATACCCGGCGCCGAGATCTTGACAGGACCAACCATGCAATTAATAAGCTCATTCTCGGCAATGCATCGCATGTGCTCACGCTGTACGACGACTGGATTCACATCCGGCTGACAATCATCGTGAATATCACTCATAGGACGATTGGCGTTCTTCTCTTCTTTTAAGTTAGATGAAAAAAAATATTCCATAGCTTGCTTTGCCGCCTTGCCCTTCTTTAGACCACCTGGTGTCAGCTTTACCTTGTATTTGAATTTGGTCAAAGACGTGTACGGTGCGCACATAGGCATCGCGAACAGCACGATGTCGTTCGGCCCTGGTTCTCCTGTGAAGGCATCAAAAAAATCAACATTTTCTGCTTCAGCCTCCTGCTCGTCAAGAAATTTTTCTTTCTTTTCGCGCTGCTGGCGAATATATTCTTCACTTGCCTCCGTCTCCGCATCGTCATTACTTTCATCAACAGCTACTGATTTCTTTCTTGCCTCGACTTCGCCTTCTTGCTCAACAACGTGACCCAATGCTTCCATACGTAAGCGACGATCTTCGTCATCCTGATCAGCGTACTTTTTCTTCATTTTCTTCATCTTGCCTTTCTTACCACGAACATTTTTCGTCTGCACCGTCATAGCAATGGACTTCTCTGCTCTTATCTCTAGTTTAACAGCATTATCCTTTATGTCATCGTGAGTTTTGCCCTTCTTCAGGTCACGACGCTCTTTTGCAGACAATCGTTTCTTTCCTTCGCGTTCGGTCTGCTGCGTATAAGCTGCGTCTTCACCACGCCTTTCATTTTTCTCGAAGTTATCAATTACTTTTTTGTTCAAAGCTGGTTGCAAAATTGCTGTGCTCTTATCTGCCATAGACATCGTCTTTTCTGTAGATATCCCCTCAGAATATACATCCTTGCCTCCCTTTTGCCTGTCTTCTTCGTCGACGCCGTCCGACGTAAGCAGCGCGCTTTCTTCGACTTGTCGAGAGTGATGGTTGACGCAGCTCTCATCAATGCGAAAAAGAATTGCCAGGCCGACCTCAAGCCTTGACGGCTGAATAAAATTTTTCTTGCCTCGTACCATAAAGCTACCCGTCGTTAGGTACTCGCCAGTAGGGGCTGTCTTTGAGACCTGGTCTGCGTGTACCCAGTACGCACCAGCAATGACCTGATTTGACCAAGCGCTGCTGCGGCATACGCTCATACACCCTGCCTGCTCCAGAGTAGCCACAGGAATCAGTAAGACGTCTTGAGTCTGCTTATTCTTCGCTGTGACATGGTTGCGGACTATGCAAGTAGCCGCACCATGGAGATCAGCATGAA